TGTACGTTATGTTCGAAGCATCAAGAACATGGGGATCACGGGAAATTACGCGTTACTGGCCTACAATGGCCAGTAAAAACTATGCAGTGATATTTGTTGCTCTCTAATCACTCGTATCAACCTCCGCTGAATCACCATCCTTAGTAGTTTTCTCTTGATCGCCAGCCGCCTCACGAAGAGCAGCCTTCTTCTCCTTCTCTTTCTGCCTCCTTTTAATCTTCTTCTCCCGGTTCCTCCTTGCCCGCTTTTCCCTGTCTGCTTCTTCTGCTGTCTTCGCAGCAGCTAGACGCCGTCGAATGGCTATTCGTCGCCTTTTGCCAGGTTTTTTTCTAGACTTGAGCACCATTGATACAGCGGACATGTTTATCAATGTAGCATTCGCCGCTTGTGCAGGGTCAGAGAGCCTTCTATCCTTCTTTCTGGATGGAGCAATAGTCTTTAGGTGGATGACTCGCCAGGAAAGATGGCAACCGGGCTAAATTCGATATATGAATTAATTTATGATGTCTTCGAGGTTGTTCGACCGTCTCTCGCATCTCCACTCTTTGCCTTTTCTGTACGCTGATTCTAGTTTTACCTGCCCAAATCGAGACGATGTACATGACGGAAAAGGGAGGTTAAATCTTAGGTGCGCTTACCCATGGACCATTCTTCGAGTGTTCAAGTATTGATATCCCGCTAACTGCCGCATCGATGAATCGCTCCCTCCCTGGCGTATCCAACTCAAAACTTTGCCCATCTCCCTGCTTTACCGCCAATTTCCGTTTAATCCATTCTGGGTTTGAAAAGTAATATTCCCAGCCCCGGAACGGAACCACGAACTCTCCCTTCTCATCCCTCGCGGCAGGTGTTGGCGATCGTAGCCTGATACGAAACCTTTGAAAACCAGCGTCTGCTGCTTCATTGTGCTCCTTTGGACTCATATGAACACCATCAACTGGTCTATTCGCAATTTTTTCCCCCTCCCCCGGCTTCTGGTCTGTCGAGCCCTTTCCAGCAGGCGGCGCTGCTGAGTGAAAAAGCCTGAACTCGAATTCCTGTTCCTCCTCTTCATATTGGATATGTTCCAAATCAACAGCAGGACGCGATTCTTTCAAGCCGGGCGGAGTATATGTTTCTATTGATGAGAATATGTCTCGTAGAGTGTTTGCTGCATATGTGGCAGTGATGCGTTCGACTGGAGAAGGGGAGCGGGATGATGAGTGGCGGTCCTGTAGATCCTCGCGACGTACGCTGTTAACGAGGTAGGTGGTTAGAAATCAACCAATTAAGCATGTAATGTATTGGTCTTCGCTTGTGATTCCTAGGGGATTTATTTGGGGAGATCATATCCAAATAAGGGTAGTGACTGATGATGATTGATGGAATGTGGACGGCGCATTACGTACCGCTTCGCGTCTGGGAGGTCGAACATATGAACATATGCCCGAGTCGCAAAGAGATTAATTGTAAGGAATTTATTAGATTATAATGGCCATTTGTAAAGAGATGCAAGACACAAGTAGAGATGGGGGAATTGATTAAGAGTGGGTGAAGGTCCCAGCTGTTAGTGACTGGTTGGGCGCCGGAGCGGAGACGTTGGGCGGAGTGGCAAATTTTAGCCGGATTGAGCTGGACGGTTTATTTTATTTACATTCCACCTGCCTTGCTCCCTTACACAGCCAAATCCGATCTTCGCGGAATTCTTCTTAACTTCTCAACAAAGACAACTAATTTTATAGAACTATCTCCGCATAGGATTATAAGATCAAGATTTGTCAGAATCCCGTCAGGATTAATTTTGATATCTCCTATTCAGATTTGTCTTCCCGTCATTTAAATTTAGCAGGATCTCCATATGACGTCTACACAATTTCTGTCACACCACATTTGTCGGATGGATATAAATGATCACGGATATGGAGAATAGTGTCTTACAACGACTAGTAACTTTGCATCGAGAAAAAGACCAGTGAAACCCTCGGACAACCAGAGTTTGTCTTCGCTGATTTTCGAATTTGGAAATTCTCCACGGCTTCCGTTCTGCCATGGTTGCTTATAAGGCGCTGAACGTGAAGTATATGGAAGAGATTTGAAGGTAATGTGAATCCTAGATATTATCTGGATGTGGGACCGCAATTGAGGCAAGATGCCGATTAAAGCTATATTCTGTTCTCCGCACTCTAGACTTCCATAGCTGCGGAGTTCTTCCTAGACGAAAATAATATATTACACGTCAACGAAAAGTTCGAGTCAGGGTTGTCAAAATCAGGTGGTTGGTATAATTAAACAAGTAAAATCTTGGAGGCCTTGGACAAGGCGGTGATTGGTCAGCAGGGGCCCAGGCCTGCCTGTTCTTGTGATTGCTGCCAGTTCATCAACCCCAACCTCATTCTTTTCATACTGCATAGGCACCGATCCAAATATTCAACCCCTCCTCTCTCGGCAGATGAAGATTCTTCGGACGCCTCAATGACCATGTCCCCGGGCTCCTTGCCTGACTAGATCCCCGGTTGTCACAATATAGTCAATCTTACGTCCTGTTTACCCCTCGTTCGCAGAACCTGAGAACCGTCTTTCTACCTAGGTTCCATCGGCAGCAGAGCGTCTTACCCTGTCGCAACAAATGGGCGTGTGCGCTTCCTGCCTGGGTCGGGGCGGGAGAGATAGCCATGATGTGAGTTGTAGGGTCTTCCGGGCTTTACATCTACCCACCGCCCATTACCTTCCGCTTGTCCTTCAATGCGACGAAGCTCCGCAGGCTCTTGCTTACGTATTTAAGTATAAATCCCTTACTGACTTTTTGTAGTCTGAATCATCCCGACTCCTCGACGATGAGCTATACCAGTCGGGCTATGGGTATGGGAGTGTGGGGTCAGTTCAACGCCAGGCTCGCGATCCAGAATATCTGAAACGGGAGAGAGAAGCTCTGGAGGCGATATGCCAGCGAACGTCAGAGTATGTCTCCCCTCATATATATAAATGGCCATCTGACAACAAAGCTTGGCTATCATGAGCTCAAAGACACCTTAACTAATCACCATTATCAACATCCATAGTTCTGTGGTTGATATCTGGGCGCTGCAACCTCACCAGTCCGGATATGCCACTCTGTCCCTGGACGCCTCCACCGCATCCTCCTCAAGAGTAGCAAGCCACGAGACCGCCACATCAGCTACTTCAGACGGGCAACAATATTCCGTATCACCTCAATACCCCACCAATATACAAAAAACACAGAGTCTAGCAGATGGCGCGAGGCGGGATGCGTCGCCGGTCCCAGGAGAATTTGGGAGACTTCGCTATGCACCACTGACTATATCAAAGAATATTAACTTATCAGCCGTACCAAAACATTGGGGAGAGGTGGTGATGACAACGAGAAAGGGCAAGAAGACAAGACCCGGTCTGAATACCGATCGGAACGGCGGCAAGTCCAAGGACCTATTCGGAGTGTTGGTTGTGGATTAAAGCGAATGGGGAAGAACTTAAAAAGAAAAACAAGCGTTCCATGACGATGTTGGTCAAATACATCTGCTACGATCTGCGTCCATTTTCCTCAATTTATCCGTTGAGGAAGACGTAATCAACAATTCGACGATTAACCGCGACACGCCTAATTCGACCTAGGGACATGTTCGTTCGCCATTTGCAGAATCTCGTCCTTCGATCATGAGGATTTTCCCGAATATCGCTGGAAAATACGGAACTAGTGTACGATAAAAAAGGAAGAAGGGAATTCACCCGGAGTTGATATATAATCCCAGCACAATATCTACGCCTGCGGAGATGGTTTTATTCCGTTATTCTCGCCTTCCTAAAATTGCCTCCGGCTACCGACTTTTCTTTGTCCTGTTGCCCGGTTGAACTACTTACTGGACGTCATGTCTTTGCTATTCATATAAATTCTTCCTTTTGTTATTCCATTTCGACCCTTTGTCGGCCTTAATCCCTTTTCACATATCCATTTTCTTTCGATGCTGACAGATTGCTGTTGTTTCAGACCCATTTTAGAATCAGCTGCTGCCAGGCTGTCGTTTTTCTTTTGTCTTCTCTTTTTTATGTCCTCATTTTCCCTAACATTTTCCTCACCATGTTTTATTACTGCGATAACAGATGTTGTCCTTTCCAGTTTTCAGTTTTAAACAATAGCAGTGGTAAAATATAAGCCTAAAAACTTAGTCCTTAATTGTTAGGGTGGAAACTGACGCGGGAAGCGTTCAGTTTCATGAAGTTTTTTTTCATTTTACATATTAATCTTCTTCTATTCTTCCTCTGCTTTTCAGTTTCTTACTTCATGATTTTTATTCCCTTATTCTCGTAAAAAGATACCACCCTTCCCATTTCGGTTTTGCTTCCTTTCTTGTATTCCTATATACTCCAGACTGTATGTTCACAATGAAAGGAGAATGACCACACAATTACACCTTCGATCGCATGTCAAGCCCTATACAATGACATATGCCAACCGCAAGGCAACCATGGGGATCCAATCAGCACACACATACCATATCTAAAATATGTTATATGGAATGGAATAAAAGTGTGTTAATTTCTTATGGCAAATGCCGACTTGACCTCTTCGTCCTTTCTCTTCTCTGGCGGGGAATCCCGAGACACAGTCCATGGGCATGATGCCCCTTAGTTGCGTATGGTCGCTCTCTTTGTTAGCTGAGAATGGCCACTCAATCTCAAGGGCGGTGCCATTCTCCCGCATGACTATGGATCGCCTTGGGAGATGGTTTCTGGGCTTTCTATTAATGCGTCGATCTTTCGTAAAGGACTGACGGGGTTAGTTCCCTGCCCGCTGTTGAGGGCGAGGGAATTGCAGTACAGCACATGACGCCAATATGTATGGTTTCTCGCTCATGATGGTTCGGATAGAGATAGTTAGAGCTGTTGGAGAAGAACTGGATAACTACTATTTAGTTAATTAACTAGTTTTTTAGCTTCTGCAAAGGCCTCATATCCACCCCTCAGATTCTCCAACCCAGGGTCTTCTTAATAGAGTCCTGAGAAACATGTCTTGGGTGATGGAATGGCGATGGAATAACATATCCGTTATTCTGAGCACGATGATGGCCACCTGTGAACAGGTTTGGCGACATGCGCCCAGGCGGGGCCGAGTCACAACCCTGAGCCTGCTAACCGACAAGTGTCTGGATAAGATGGATGACGGGCATTCTTCAACCCCTGTTGACTTTGCTCCGAGTATCGAATGCTCTGATCACCTTATGCAAAAGAGTCTACAAGCAAAGTTGAGATATTTCTAAATCCAGCAAAGATGTGCCATTTCCAAAGCCAGCCAGCCACCATATATTAAAGCTAGCTTTCTTGCGATCAGGCAACTATCCTTATTGCCTGCACTTCATGCATTACCTGGGATAGTTAGATCTTGATATCCGCAGAAAGATAGTCAGACTACCCTTGAATTGACATATACCCCAATTACTCCCCTTGGAACCACCATCTCCAAGGCTCTGCCCTCCTCTTCCATTATTCGTACCATTCGTTTGCATTTATTTTAATCACCTCTGCGTATTCACGTGCAGTATGATGCATTCTCTGCAGCCCCCTACTCATCATCTCTCTCCCCGCCCTAACAACTTCCCACCCAACAACCTCGTCCCCCACCCCGTCCACACCCCAAACCCCAAACATAGCTGCCATATTCGGCAAAGCCGGCCACTCGGCCTCAATTGTTGGTCCCTCACCCTAGGTTCCATCGCCTCAGACGAACCAGGACGTCGGGCATGGCAAACCTCCCTCTGGGACCTGATGGGGAATGCCAATACACCGCACTCCGTCCGCAGTTTGATAGCGGGACTATATAACGCCCCGGCCGCGCAGTTAATTTTAATTTACTTTTCTTTACCTGGACCGTTCCGCCCTGATGCAAGGAAGGATATAACGTCCCCAATATACAGATAGGTTATCTGCCTCCAGGGCCTGGCACACAAAAGCAAGGAGGAAGCCTGGGTCAAAGGCGAGAGGAATGGGTTGTTCATTGCTGCTGACACGGCAGATGTTGCCGTGGGTGGGCATCCGAGTCGGGAGAGGGAGAGGATGTTATTGGTGCAGGCTCCCTTTTGCGATGGAGTGTTGCTTGGCATGAGGTGCTACATTAGGGGCTATGTGCGGGGGACGAGGTGTGGGAGAGTCGCCTATATCGGAACGGGTACATAACTTCTTTTTGGTCACCATTCTAGAACATCATTCGTTTAGACCCTAGGAGGATGAATTGCCCTCCTATTTGTATGCATATATAGACACATAGTTTTGTATCGTATATCTTGGATCAAAAATGGATAGAAATTTTCGATCCGTATCTGTTCAATATCTTCGTCTGTAGATGCTCTCCTTATGCCTAAACCGATCTTCAGGAGTAAAATGCCAACTGTAATACCCTAGCCCCCCCCCCACCCCCAAAAAAATAATGTTCCTTTCCAAGAATATACGACCAATTGGGGGTAGTTGGCTGATTCTTAATAGCCAGTTGTCGTTAGGTCGTAGAATAATAATCAGTTAGAGTTAAAATCAGGGGTTAGGGAGGGAAGCACGGTTGGTTAAGATTACCTGCCGATATATATGAGAAATATGTCTTTTAGAAAATTTAAGTCTCCCTGTTATTTTCAGAGACTTTGATATGGATATTGTAAGAAGCTATTCAGATATGCTCTATAGCTAATGATGATCTGGGGGTTCCTGAACTGCGTGGTTTGGTTTGATATTGAGATAATTGAGATATCCGTAGAGCTGTGGGTATTGAGGAAGTTGAGCTACCCAATAGCAAGATTCGGGCCTTTCCCAAGTACTTGCAACACCATGACCAAGAGAAATCATGACGAAGTGCACCTGCGGAAAGTTAAGCTTTATTTAAAAAAGAGGAGATTTAGAAACTATCCGCATGCTGCCTAACAAACTAGAAAAGGAAAAATCAGAAAACAAGAAACAAGAAACACAACTGGAAAATAAAAGGATTAAAAAAAAGCTAGAAACGGGACTGATGGGGCAGAGTGGAGACAAATATGAAGAAAATAAAATGCTTAACAGTGTCAGTCTCCACCCAATAAAACATTCCCCGGAACTACTCCTTGAAATAACTGTTGAAAATAATGTTGGTACTGCCCTTCGCTGAAGCACAGCATTGTCGCCCCATGGCAACCATGAGAAAAACCTGGGGGGGGGGGGCTAAAATCAAACCGCCATTGCTGTCTCAACTCCATAAGAAACGCCGTGTAGCAGTTGTTGTCCAGTTGGGCAAACTACAGAAAATCCAGATATCCTTCTTTGCTCCATGTCCAAAGCCTAAATAGGCATATGCAAAAAATTTGGTTCTTGAGGTCCAAGAGAAAAAGCGAAAGAGGGAACCACAGGTTCGTCATACGTCGTCCATTTCTCCTGCGGGTTCTTCATTTCCAGACTCATAGCTCCCAACTGAGCTCAATTCGTCGTCTGATTCGGTGTCCTCACCGGCTTCATCGGCAGCATCTTTGCTTGCATACTTGGCAACGTATTCTAGGATACAAAGCGATCAGCATACAGAATTCATAGAGTTCTCGCAGCCCCGTCTCGTCTTTTCGTACCTCGAACCCTGGCCTCATATTTCTTTGGATCCCGCATCAATACGGCAGCAGCATCTCCATTTAGGGGGTCTGAAGGGTTGGGATATCGGAGTAGTTGTGGAAGGAAGACCTCGAAAATATTGATCATGTCGTACATAGGTGACCATGTCTGGTTAATAACATCGAGACATACGGAGCCCGACCTAATAATTCCATTAGACCTGAGATAAACAAATGTTTAATTCAGGTATAGTCTCACAGCTCATCGATATTCGGATGGTAAATTCTGTTCACGAAGCCAATACTGGGGCTCTTGTACGGGTATTGATCGGGAAGTTCGACGTGGATTTTCCAGAGGCCACCCTCGAATGGTGCTGTGATAATATTGTCAGCCCTGCGACGTCGTATGAGCTAGTTAAGAGAAAACACACTCTCTTCCGGTCCCTTAAACCGAACGTAGAACTCTTGCCTAGAAATCCATCACCCAGTTAATATACTGCATTAAAGTTGACTGGAAGGATTGTGTTAAAAGGATAGGAGGGATATGCTACGGACACTGTAATGTAGAAAGGAGTATGTTAGCTGCGCCCGATGTTTGCCCATTAGAATGGATATAACTCCACTTACTGTTGTCATTAACCAGGGTGACCTCATAGTCACTCATCAACCTGGACCACTACTGTTAGCAGGCTAAATCACCCCTTCCAAGCATTTTATTAAAAAAAGTTAAGGACTGATGTCCACCGAGACCCGGATATATGACACGTTCAATCGTAGGTAAGGAGGATTTGCATACATCCTGTAGTTCAAGTTAGTACAAGCTTGTAACGCAGCATCAGGGCAGGATGAAGAAGGGGAACAATACTTCATAACCTGTGGGAACCAGAAGAGTAGATTGAAGGGGTTAGTCTATGTATCTAGGAAAGGGATTCCATCCTCAATCAAGCCCTCTCTTCCCAGAGTTGGACTCACATCTGTTTCGATCCTCCGCTTTGGACTGCTCATGTTGACAGATGTTTCGGAACTGCTAGGCGTAGGTGGGTTCTATAGAGTAAACCCAACTTCGAGATTCTGCAGAGTGGATTTACTTCTATAGGGATATATCACTAGAGCTTCAGTGAATGCCCTCGAGAGGGTGGCCTAACTCTAGAGAACCTAGGGATAGAGAGGTAACGGTTGTGGGGTGCCGGGAACGAGGTGGGGAGGGAAGGTTAATTACGATAGTTGACGGTAAGAGTTGAGTGAAAGGTAAAATGGTTCTTCTGCAGATCTGCTCAAGTTGAAAAAATGCGTTGTTTGGGCAAAGGAGCAGGGTGTTGGCATGTAAAGGGCGCAAGCTGCGGAGCGTTGGCTGGTCGTGATTCATGGAAGTCGGGAGTTCCGTGGCAGTCTGGGATAAAGGCGTGTGGTCAGAGGTTTAAGGCAAAGCGATGCGAACCATCATGGGTCGATGGCTTGGCGGTCATGTGGTGCCAGCAAATGGTGCAAAAAAGGTTCAAAAGGCGTCTACCCAACGCCTATTTTTAGGTTAAGTTAGATAACTATGTGTATATTAGAACTTCAGCAAAGGGAACATACATGAATGATGATTGCTGGGAATTGCCACCAAAATGAACACCAGATGATAATTAGTCATTAGCTACCCCTAACTAGTTAACTAGTTATTCCACCGGCGCTAGTCACAGTTCACGAACCGTCCACCATTAAGCTGCTTATTTTGACCACCCATACGCTGTGAACTCCCCCAGAATAATTAAATTATTTGATTCCCCGGTCAAGGCGCTGTTTGCTCCCGCTGCCATCAATAAGAGAGGTCAGATCGAACCATACGGAAGCCTATTTGTAAGCAACTAAAGCCGGTAAGCTTTTGACTGTTTACTTGTAAGAAAGGATGTCATTTCTGAGAAGGGGGTGATGGAGGCCTCCCCTGACTTGCTTGACCCCACCATCATAAGAAGACGGCTGCTGGTCTCAAGCACCACGTAGAGAGACCAAAGTTACTGCTCTGGGTATCGCACACAGGCTCCGTACGACTAGAGGAAATGGAAACCATACGTATCTGACCCCGCAGCCCGAGAAAGGGGAGGAGCAGCGGGAGCAGAGAATGAAGAAGATTGTCCATATCTAAACAAGGGCAATAGGATTGTCCCCAGTCCCCGTACGAGTGACCATGAGCCTCCTCGGCGTCGGATGACCGGGGGAAGGGCCAGCACCGGGCTGAGTGGTGGCCGGGGGCGCTTGCGGGAGGGAGGAGGGGAGGAAGATGGGGGCCACGACGTGGGTCTTGTCATTGTCCAGGCCAGAGTCATCCCTCTCTGAGCGCCATTACCATCTTGTACGGAGCATCTAGCTCTGTGATCGCGCCACTTGCAATTCTCACATGTTCCCCGGAAGTGCCCGGGTAGCCGAATGCATTCAGGAAAGGGGCGGGGACCATCAGACCTGAGGCCTCACCACCATTTCGCGAGATTGGATGAGGATGCTATTATTGTATGATGGCTGCCGGCTCTGCACCTGGACTTCTGTCATACTCTAACGTACGATCAGTACATCCCGCCCTGGAAGGGCAAGGACATTCTGACCCTGAGAGGAGAAGGCAAGGGGCGCAAGCTGCTGGCCTTCAACATAGAGAGTCTGGTATTGCAGCAGACCTGCATTGTTTCTGATCAAAGCTCTGTCAGACAGAGGTCAGCTCTCAGCTCAGCAGGCAGGAAGGCAGTGAGTGCACTTACATTCTCAACTTGGTAAACTGTTTTCGTATGAATATGTCATTAGCCAGTTGTTCTTCTGTAAAAAGATGTTGTTGGCCAGTTGATCTTCTGTACTAAGATGTTATCAGTTGCTCTGTCAGTGAAGAGGCTGAATACTTAGCCTGTGTGTGTTTATACATACATTGTTTTTGTGTTTGAGTGAGAGAGAGTGAGAGTAAGCAGAAGGAAATATCATTAACCAGATGTTCTTCTGTATGAAGACATTGTTGGCAGCCAGTTACTCTGTGAGTGAAGGGGCTGAATACCTAGCCTGTGTGTTTTTGTACATACATTGTTTTTGTATGTGAGTGAGTGAGAGAGAGAGAGTGTGTGTGTATGATCAGAAGAAAATGTCATTGATTAGTTGTTCTTATATGAAGACATTGTTAGCAGCCAGTTGCTCTATCATTGAAGAGCAGAAGTAAAGACAGAAATAGACATAAATATAAACATAAATATAAACATTGACACAGATACATGTAGATATAAGTGTATATATAAATATAAAATTGAAATAAAAGTAGAGACAATAGCAAAAACAGATAAAAAACAGAAACAGTATCTCAATAATCAAAATAAATATCATTTCTGATAGCTTTAACATCAGCATTGACTGCAACAGTAACTATATTGAAAGTGTTAAATAAACTCTATGTAAACTGTATCATTCTGCTTTATTATTAAATTTATATAGATAATAGTTCTGACTTTAATTGCTCATATCTTAGTAATAATTTACTGATAATATATCTATAGCAAAGTTATAAAAGTAGATAGTACATGATATATCTGAATCTTCATAGAAGGAGACGACGCCGAGACGGGGAATCAACAGTGCCGTCGCATGGATTGTTTGATGGGGAGCCGAATGGGTAGGCTTGACTAGCTAAGGGAGCAGACGAGCTTATGTCTTGGGACTGAAGGGGAATCTAAGCGGTCAGGGATACAAATGATTAGATAGAGAATTGTATGCGTTTCAATGAATCTGATATATTAAGAACGAATCGATGACCCTCTAAACGGGGGGTCAGATAGCTAGCTTTATAGAGTTTCCATCAGCCTTCCCTCCTTTCTGAATACACTCACTCAGATACGACTCTATCTGGTCAAGGAGGTGGCAATGTCATTCATAGAGATGATCATAGAGATGTCATCCCTATGGTAGTCACCTCATCATTTCATACAAGGCAGGATAATCATCTCATACAAAGGTGAGACAGTCACCTCGTCATCAGGGTGATATGAATATCCTTATCGGAGTAATGGCGGCGCCGTAGAGAGATAGTTTCTAAGACGTAGGATATATCGGTTACCAAGAAGATGGTCTTTGACTAGATCTCGTGATCGTGATACTTCTTTCCTTGATCATCTGAACAAACAGTGTATATAACATCTATTAAGATTTGATACTTTTGTTTCTCAAATAGCAGATTATTTCAGAGAAGACAATAAGAAAATTAATTCTGGAAGTAGAATAAAATTATATAAAATCACAGTGTAAAATTTATTTAGAAAATGAGAAGTTACTGTATAATTATATCATTCTAATTTATAGCGCTTTTATCTAATTATGTATACAGATACTTCTAACAGTAACAGTTATCTGTTTCATAATGTTATAACTCAAATTAGCTCAGTTACTTATTCATACAAAATCTACAGTTTCTATGGCTTAATCTAGACGCAGATAAACACGTGTTCGATGCCAACTAGGTAAGCTAATTCAACGAAATACTAAGATGCGGGTCTGGTGAAGCCTCTCCTTTTATATACCCCTTTCCCACTAGCGGTTGCTATGCCGTTGCTAGGCAGTTTCTGTGGGGTATTTGTTTACGTTGCTTGCGGGGTGTTGCGGGGTGGTTGCTAGGCCGCTAGGAAGTTGATATTACTATTTTCGGACAATGCCAGTTTCCGCAGCGCCGTTCACAATTTCTATGTTTATGAAAGATGAGAACTCTGCTCTCTCTCATATAATCTTTAAGAAGATATTAGACAGATAGTAGTTGACAAAACTATCATTGTTTTACTATTCTACTTAGTGATTTGCGTTATACTTACTTTTCTAAGTTCAGCTCTCATTGTTTTAAACTTTTATCTAAAATGAGTTTTCTTCAGTAAGCTGAGCTTCACTATGTTAAATATTTTATTTGCTTATCTTAGACAAATTTCATATCTCATGTCATACTTAACATTAGTTTTCTTGAGAAGTTGCAAATCATAATAAAGCTGATAGTACTAAAAATTTAATATTGATTTTTGTTTGAAGTTTTAGCATAGTAAAAAGATAAAAAGTAAGTAAATATGATATACTGTAAAGAATTTTAATATTATATATATTATCATATTCAATATAATCAAAAATATTAATTTTATTATAATTCATAATAAGAATTAAAGTATCACAAATTGTGAGACTATAATTTTTGAAGAAAATAGTAAATAGATATATAAGCTGAAGGAATAATTGATCATTTGAATAAAATAATATGTTTAAATTGATCAAAACATTAAAGTTCATATAAAGATAGACTTCTATACTTTGAGCTGAGTTATTTATATAGCTTTGTCTTCAACAATATTTTTGCAGCTATATGAACTTTGACTGCTATTAAATCTATTAAATATGATGTTGACAACTCAATCTGCATATTCGAGTCTGGATCACCGGTGCTTCATCCAATATCATACACTTATTAGTCTTGTATCAAAAGGAACAAATCTTTCAATCCACAATTTTTTCCCTTAGAAATAGAGCTATCTTTGAACCAGTCTTGGGTTTAGAGCCGGGGATTGGGTGCAGATGAGCACTGAATCTGATTGGCTGAGAGTAGTGAAAAGCCCACCGAACTGCCATACTAACCACGGTGCGAACCAGCCAATTCCCCACCCAAATCCCCCCTTATAAGCTTTAGTTACCTTCCATGGCTAGGTGATATCTGCAGTATCCCCCCATTATATCTTCCAGACACCACTGATTGCTTCGTCAACTATTTTATTCTACAGTCACCGTTTTCCTTTTGGTAACTACCCCTGAAACAAACAGCGCGGGAACCCCAAAGACCAACCAACCTTTGCTAAAACATCTGCCAGTGTCGTTATTCGCCCCATATATGCTTGCCTTGTTTATGTAGTAAGTTCAATACATGCAGTACATATCTCAATTGGAGGTGGAATCAGCAAATTTTGCTTTCCCACGATAGGGAAAAAAAAAAAAAAAAAAAAAAAAAAAAAAAAAAAGGGGGGGGGGGGGGGAAGCCCCATAATTGGCTAATATCCTGACGAAATATTTTCTGAAGCAAAAAATGACCTGTTCCAACAGCATGTTATGTTGCCTGCATAATTTGAACAGCTTCAATTCTCGAGCTGATCTCCGCTCTATTCGCAAACATCAGTACACACTGCACCTCACCCGTGGTTTAGTGTTGTGTGAGGCGTAAAGGGATTGGGGATTTTACAAGAACATGGACAACCAAGTGTCAAAATCCAAATTCCCAGTGATGCAGCAGTTCCCACGTCGATTGCCGCCAGGTCCTCCAGCAAATCGAGCACGTCAAGGTGGAACATGTCTTCCCTCTCGGACGAACTATCTGAGATCTCTCCAGAAATGTCACTATATGCGTAGGCTTCTTCAGGCGGCTCTGGTGTACTAGGCATCGTGACCGCTTGAATACCCTCGATATCGGAAGGCAACAGGATTGGCTGAAACGGCCCTCTTGCGGTTAGACTCTCATGGCGCTTCAGGGGCAGTCAGAACGGTTAAAACTTTTTGGAAACGATCTCCCCCTTTATTTATATGTTAGATTTGACGAAGCACAAACCTTTCTCTTGATGGTTTCCATGAGGGGCATTTTCTTGCTCACTCGGTGCCAGACTCTGGGGCCAACTTTTTGCAGCCATCCCTTCTTTTTCTGGTTGTTTTGGCGTTTGTTCTGCTTTTTCTGAGACTTAAGGTATCAGCATTCAGCGAAGACGAACCCAAATTGAGATATGTGGGATCAGCAAAAAAGCACCCACGATTTCACGTCTGATACATAGTGCTCTGAGCTCAGTGCGACAGCTGGCTGGACTGAGCAGCATCATTCTGCCCCTATTCAGAACTGCAGATGTGACTTTTTTTGTTGCTATTGTAGAAGATCACAAATAAACAATCTGGTATGGTATACAGATGGTAAGAAAAAGGTAGCAAGAATGTTGATGAATTTAATAATAAGTGTGTTTTGATTATACTAATGATGAACATGTGTTATTGCAGTCCAGAGTTGAGTGTTGTGAGTGTTAACTGCACCACATCACGGCAACGCTTGAACAGAGATGATGCTCAAAGACAAACCCCTGTCTGATATTCACCCTAAGTGACTGTAACCTGCTCATGCTGTCCTTCAAAAATGTCTTCTTGTCCTATTCTAAGTCTGTTGAAGAGCAAACACAAAAATCATGCCAACCCCCCCTCAAAACACGTGAACATAGCCTAGATAAGGAATCAAAGAAATACAGAAAGTGGTCGCATTTGGCTACCGAACGGAAGAACCGAAAAGAGGAACAATACATCCCCTTGCCTGCAGAGGGATTTGCCAGTAATAAATTAGCATCCAACCCTTTCCGTGCGAATCTGCTTCTCTCTATTTTTTTTGATCTCCCGGGTTTTCTCCTATCTTTCTGCAACGCAGCAAGGTTGGCTCCATTCAGAGATGTCCTCACCAAGACTCCACACCATAACTCCGCACATCTTCTGCTCACGTACAATTTTCCTAATCTTCCTCTGAATGAGGTCCGGAACATCCGACGTCCAGATCAACTTAGCCACAACATTCATATTCGGACCGACAGCCCATCCCGCAGTATTGTTTCTTTGAGCCACTGTCCTTGTTAATATATTCTACGTAGCATATTTCGCGGATTCCAGTATGCGAAAAGTAAAATGCTTGGATCTTGGGGGGAAGGAAGTGGGGTTTATTTACCAACTGCCATTCTGGCTGCAACAATCGCCGTTGTTGCATTGCAAGGAGAAATAGATGTCCACATTGCCCATTTGCACTAGGATCAATCTGTGCGGGTGCCGGTGAAAGAACTGACTTCTCAGAAGCTATCTGGCCCGATGATGTCTTCGCCAGTTGATCATTCAGCGGGAGTCGGGGAACAGTTGAGCGGTGCTGAGAACTCGCTCTCTTGCATGTCTTTGAGAGAAAAGAACCTTGCGTAAAAGGCGAAGCCTAGATTTACCTTTCCAGGAGGTAGTTTGATGTCCAAGTGATTTTGGACCAAACTTAAGGCTAGCTTTGACGGTCGAGTGATGAGCCGTCATACCATCACGGCGGTTGGTCAGGTCGTAGGACATGATCTTCAAAGACATTAGCAGGAGGAAAAGTAATCATGCTAGGAAAGTAGCGGATGGAGGGAATGGGATAAAGGTTCTGGTGTTTCATTTTGAAATACATACATATAAATTGAATCAACAGACTCACAGATCGCTGGGTCAGTTTCAGCAGTAAAGGCAATCGTTAGGAGCTTCGAGCCAATCTTCGCTGGGATTTCCTTCATCGGTGCTCTGCAGCTCAGTAGGTGGTCTCTACACCATGAGCCTGGCGCTAGCTATATCACAGATAACATGAGATTTGCTTGGGTAGGAAGATCACCCCGAATCTCTAGCAACAAATGGATTCCAGCAGTTGCTAAGTTTTGCTGGAGGCTCACGGCTGGATTCGGAGCTCGGCCACATTACTCTAGTTCTAAAGCAGAACATGGCCAAGAAAATATATGTTGTCACTACGTATATTTAGGCTGGATGGGGAGATGAGTGGTAGAGCATGGTGTTTTGGTGTCATCAGGCCCATGTTTCAATCAGCAACTGGAATGGTAAGTTAGTTAGATGAACACCAGCGATGCTGTCCTCCATGCGTGGCTTGCAGTTCGTTGACTAACTAATTACGTAGTCAACGAACTCTTCTGCAATAACCAAAGCACTAGGGTCCCCCCCCCCGGCCACTGTTCAATAATTCTCGCCTCCGTAGAGTAGAGATATTTTTTTTTATTACTAGTTGATTCGTAGCTCCGCTTGGATATTTTCGAGGCTGGAGTCCAGGTCGGACAGTTAACCGCAAAATAATAAATGGACTTGCGGAAGTTGGTAGAAAGGTAAATCGGGTTATTAACACGGGCGATATGAGTGGTCGAGCCGAGTCTTTTTACCTTTTCTCTGCTGCGAGAACCGAGGTTGTTCATCGGGGGCTATCAACCAATGCTCACCAACTCAGTCTATCCCTAACCATCATACGGGCCGACAGGGAAAACAGGGATTTAAAATGGCACAGGCACTCCACCGCACAGGGGCAATCCGGCAAAGTTAGCAGAGAGGTATCATAGCACCGTCAGTCATCCCTTTTGTTTGTTCCCTTTGACCCCCTATCCCCTCTCTCTGAAACACACCATCAAGTGAACGCCATGGCATCCAAACTAGCTGATAGGAAGATCTCGCGGGAGGAAGTTGCGCAAAACAACACGGAAGATTCCTGTTGGTGCATCATCGACCACAGGGTCTACGACTTGACTGATTTCCTCGATGCGCATCCCGGTGGCAATGTCGTCCTCACCCAGATTGCCGGAACAGATGCCACAGCCGCCTTCTACAACCTCCATCGACACGAGGTGCTGCAAAAATATGCCAACCTTTGCATCGGCACCGTCGAGAACGAGACGCCCGAAGTGGTTGATCCGCAGCCTGGTGATCTCAGCAAGGTGCCATATGGCGAACCAATATGGCTATCCCCTGTCTACAAGAGTCCTTACTACAACGATTCGCACCGTAGACTACAGAAGGCGTTGCGAAAGTTTGTCGATACGCATGTGTATCCAGAAGCACAGGAGAAGGAACTTGACGGCACTTATATCTCCCAAGACCTCGTGGATAAGATGGCGGAGACGAATTTGTTAGCTATGCGATTGGGTCCGGGGCCGCATTTGCATGGTCGAAAATTGTTTGGCGGCATCATCAAGGGAGAGGAGTTTGATTACTTCCATGACATGGTCGTTGCGCAGGAGCTGGCGAGAGCCAATGCTCGAGGATTCCAAGATGGCAACATGGCTGGCATGATGATTTCTTTAACAGCCATACGACAGTGGCTTAAGAATACAGAATTACGTGACAGAGTCACTGAAGAATGTCTGTCCGGGAAGAAATTCATGTGCCTGGCCGTTACGGAGGCTTTTGCCGGATCTGACGTTTCGGGTATCCGCACTACGGCTACAAAAACTCCCGATGGCAAGCACTACATAATCAGTGGTAAGTCATCACTAATTGAACCCCGTGTTACCCTCAGACCTCTCTCTCTCTCTCTCTCTCTCTCTCTCTCTCTCTTTCTTTCTTTCTTTCTTTCTTTCTTTTTTTTTTCTTTTTTTTCTTTTTTTTTTCTTTTTTTTCTTTTCTTTTTTTTTTTTTTTTTTTTGGCAATCTCACTCATTACTGCTCTACCAGGAACCAAGAAATGGATCACCAACGGCATGTGGGCCGACTACTTTGTCACGGCTTGCAAAACCGAAAAGGGATACTCGGTCATTCTTGTCCCACGCGACGAGAACATAGAGACCAAACGTATCAAGACCGCCTACTCGACTACTGCAGCCACTACCTTTATTCAGTTCGACAATGTCAAGGTCCCTGTTGAAAATCTGCTTGGTGAAGAACACAACGGCTTCATCGTGATAATGAGCAACTTCAACCACGAGCGTTGGGCCATGGCCTGTATGGTCAGCCGTTGGAACCGCACTGTTGTCGAAGAGTGTCTCAAATGGGCCAACCAGCGAATCGTCTTTGGCAAGCCCCTCATTAATCAGCCAGTCATACGTCAGAAGCTAGCCAAGATGATCTCTCTCACAGAAGCGTCGCAATCCTGGTTGGAAACCATCACGTATCAGATGTGCAATATGAGCTATGCACAACAGACAAAGCACCTCGGTGGTCCCATCGGGCTTCTCAAGTCGTATGCCACCCGCTGCGCTCATCAGATCGCGGATGATGCTGTCAATATCTTTGGAGGTCGTGGGATTACACAGACTGGAATGGGCAGAGTTGTCGAGCAATTCCACCGTACTTATAAGTTCGATGCCATTCTTGGCGGTACGGAGGAGATTCTGGCTGATCTTGGTGTGAGGCAGGCAATTAAGCAGATGCCCAAAGCTATGCTATAAAATGCTGGTTTCGGATGAAGACTATAGTACTTATAGCGGCGATACAAACTACGACAGGGTATATTGATCATGTACAATAGAATATTGTTGGTGTTGATTTCCTTTCCTTTTTATTTGCTCCTCATCTTATTTTAGCCGGACAGCCGAATACAAAGTTTGGGAAACTGACCCGGTTGTCACCGGCCAAGGTACTTCCATTATCAAACGCATATTATTTTATCGCGATATTCCTATGCGGAAATCCGTTTATCAACTGACTAACCTATTTTACTCAGCTAAATTCTAAATCCAAAGCAATACAATGTGTACAAAAGTTTTCCCTGGCTGCTATATCAGGCTATGCATGTTCAATTTTCCGTTCCTCGCATGGATATCTCTCTTTCATCTTATCTTTGGAATAATAAGGGTTGGACTTCTATGGGAATACGCGAAACCCACCGTTGCGTACACACTCCAGTGTTCTAGATTTTTTACATGGGACTCTTCCGTTTCCTTGGGATCAAAAATGACGTCATCCTGTTTATTGCTCGTCGCAGAAAAATCGTCAAGCTCTTCAGTACCATTTGGTTAGTTACACGGGCCACAAAATGAAAGAAATAATTCCCAAACCACGATTCTATTTTAAAAACATAAAAGTTGCTATCATCACATTCTGATTCAGAAAATTACAAAAGTGAGACTATTCACACAAATAAGAAGTTAAAACACCACGATATTACGCGGAATTCCACGCGAACGATCCAATTCCACTACAAAGACTGTTCGTCAAATCATCATCCTTCGAGAATAGCCTGTATTATTAAAAAAAAAAAAAAATGCCAGTCCTGCTTTTGTTGTTGAACCCAACAGCACATACAGCGTTGGCGCCGCTCCTGAACTCCCCTTGGATCTCGCTCACTTCCTTGCCGTTCCTGTTTATTGAACGGGCGGCCCGAGCCCGAAACTGGGAGTTTCCGTAGTCGTGCCATTCTGGGCTTGATCGCACCAGACTTGATTATTGTTACTCTGGTATCAAATAGGCAGTTAGTGAGGTCTTCCGCTCTTTGGTCCGCAGCAAAGAAAAGGCACAGCCGCGACTGGGAGAGGCGATTGACGCACTTTTGGAGAATTTTTCATGTGACGGCGCATGTGGCATCTTTGATGGAAATGTCGTAATGGAACGTGATGCTGGAGTTAGCACTGCTGGAGGAACTGTAAGGATGCCGTTTGCGAGGACATAGTGGGCGAATGAGTGCGTTGTTGAAAGAGTGTTGTGCAAATAACTGGAAATTGGACCAGAGTTGAGGGTTGGGTACACAAGCGAAGGGATGAGCTCTTGTTTTGCTTGAGCGAAGAGTAAGAGGTTGTACAAATTCAATGAGCTTCAGATGAGGTTCAAATCAATATAAATATTTCGGGATCTTGCTGCTGTTTCCAGTAAACGGTTTGCTACCTGGGTACTGTACGTAGTTAGGTGTTTTAAGCTTGCTATGAAGAGCAGATTTCCCCTCCCTTTTCCGATTATTCGCTGGTGGCTGGCTCGAGATCCACTCGGTTTCAGTCCGTCAATTAACAACCCAAAAAGCTTCTGATGACCAGAACTGTGTAGAACATGCATACACTGTTTCGTACACAATACGCCATAAGGCAAAGGCTGGAAAGAATCGTTTGACGGTGCAATATGTCACTGTGCCCCTTTTTGATAATCGAATATTGCATTGTGCCCCAAACCTTCTGATAATCCCACTTTGTTAAATGGACTCTCAACGATCGGTGGCAGATTCAAATAGTAATAATAGTAAATAATTTTTTCTGATGCGATTCGAGCTTTCGCGTCTCACAGTAGCCCGTAATTTCCGCCGTTGTACGGACGGGTTTAACAATGCAGCGAAGACAAACAGACTCCGATGCTGCATCTAGCCCCGTGAGCCCCCCAAAGTACACGAGCGGGAGCTAGAATGGTCGTCACTTCGTAAACAGGAGATCTTTATGAGGATCAAGCTAGGGTAGAATGCGGTCTTGTATCTTTGTGAAAAAAATACCTGCTAGATATCAGCCATCAAAGAATTGGGTCAAGAGATATATGCAGGATGTATTTAAAGCTCATGGTGAAGATTGTGAACATGGACGAAATAGCGTCCATTCAATCCTCCATGCACATATAAAACGTATCTACCGGACTTGAAAATTCATAAGAAATATTCACTTGTATTTGCTCTGGGTGGTTTAGAGGTTACTACGAGGTTGATTTAAAGTTAAGCTTAAACGGCATTAAGTTTCAGCTGAACCTTGAACTATCCATAAACAAGTTAACAAATCCCAGATGGATAATCCCTGCTCATTTTGGCTCCCCAGGAACAGGGAAGGAATATTTTTCTGACAGATTATAAGAAGAGCAGTTGTACGATAATCAGTAAAATAATGTAAAATCGCCTCTATCATGATTTTAATAACCAGGGATTGTTGATTTCTTTGTATGTTTAGTATGTATACAGTATGTGGGTACTCGCATAGTCGGCAAAACAACTAGTGCATTCAACCTGGCCCTTGGATAATATCCCTCCTCTAAATAATGCGAAATGTTTCCAAAATGAAACTTAGCTGACTTGAAGCCCATCCTTTATCATATCCTGTTTCCCCACCACCCCTCCACAAGCCGCTAACACCATTCATCAAATCTGAACATTTCCTGTTCTCCTGGATTGCCCAGCATGTTGCGCCAGCTTCGGCTTCAACTATTATCCATCGCCTTCTGTTTGTTTTACATGGCGTTAGGCCAAACATACACCGCATGCGATCCTCTCAAAAAGTGTGAGTAGCATCGTAGTTCAATCCCGTCTATATTTCGCAGAGTCCATAGTACAAGAATCAGATTCTGAGAGTACCTGCCCAGCTTGTCCACCGAATAAGGCTCTGGGGAAATCCATTGAAGTTGATTTGACTAAAGGACGTCCGGAAAACTGGGATCTGTCAAAAGATATCAAGAATGGGGAAAATGGCGGTGTATTAGCAATTGAAAAAGATGGGATAAAAGCAGAGCTCATATCCAACTTCTATATAATGTTTGGAAGAGTGGATGTCACTATGAGGACATCACCGGGCCAAGGAGTTGTTAGCAGTGTTGTCCTGGAATCTGATTGCGGAGACGAAGTCGATTTTGAGTGGATTGGCCGTGATAGCATGCAAATCCAGACCAACTATTATGGAAAAAGACTTCTAAATCACACCGGAGGCCAAAATCACTTCAACCCGGGGAACCAGGACAACTTCCGAACATACACCATTGACTGAGATAGCGAGAGGATAGTTTGGAAGATTGATGGAGCCACAATTAGAGTTGCTACCGCGGCAGAATCCGGCCAGAGCTATCCACAAACACCGGCTCTTATTCAGGTTGGTAACTGGGTGGGAGGTGATCCTGAAAGAAATCAACTGGAAACTATTGGTAAGTTTAATTATCCGCAATCATTGTTATTCTTATTTCGGGGAAAAGCTGAGAGTGGATATACTAGAATGGGCTGGAGGTAAAGTCGACTATTCCGCAGCCCCTTTCGTTATGTACGTTAAATCCATAAAAGTGGCCGATTATTCGACGGGAAGAATGTATGAGTATGCCGATCAAACGGGAAACTGGCAATCTGTCAAAGCAGTAGATGGGAAAATAAACAACCATGGCACAGATAGAGACACAGAGACTTCTCCATCTACCATCACCGTACTGGAGACTTCTGCAGCCTCTGCGACATCATCGAAAAATAATTGCGGATTGAAGGGTATGTATAAATGGGAAGGGTCATGTTCATTGCAACTCTTGTTTCATGGGCATAAGGAGTTCCTTGTTGTCTTCAATTCGATCCGTCTCAGAAACTCGACGGACCTGGATTGTATGTGGCGCATGAAACACAAACACCACACTGTCCTATGGTTCCCTTTTTTATTTGGCATATCATGTTTCTTCCCGGGATATGTCAGCCCATGATTAACCGTGTGTCCATTTACCTTGTAACCGAAAGCCATACATATACTAATACTTGCTGAATTTCTTCATAGACTCCCGGTGCTGAATGTAGTAACGGAGCATCAACAACCACCACGTCTACGGTGGGGCCAGCATTGACAAATGGCCTTCATCCGAGCAGCAAGGCCGCCGCTGGTAGGAATGGTACCGCCCATAGTGTTGCCGCAAGCACGCCAATCCCGAGCCACACCAGTCGTAAACCAATCGCAGGGGAGAGGAGCGAGATCCACGCTCAGAATTATATAGGAATAGGTTGTGTGTTATTCAACGCTATCAGGGTCCTGTTCTAATTCCTAGGGGCCCAGATCAAACATCTTCATGGATCCGGTTTCGTATTGGTTGAGAGAAAATTTCGAGTTCAGTTACATGTTTGTCAGTGTTAATGATAACAGCATAACAATGAAGTGTCAGTCTAATGAAAACAAATTTGTTTGAAGGTGTCTTCAACCGAAAGAACTGTGATGTTCAACACAATCATGTATTTTGTCATTGTTATTTTTCAACCTCGACGAATAACAGGTGTGTCATGAAGTTTTCCATAGTCAGGTATTGTCTTTCCTTGGATGGTAGACCCATGTGGTAGAAATTCTGCTCTGGTTGGCCCGAGGAAAGTCGGGCTGCTGTGGTACAGACATTTGTATCTCCTCAAAACGTGGATTAGATGACGAATTTGGTCAACTCCAGGTCGATGGGGGACATCCAAAAGCACCTTATCCCAGGAAGAGCGACCAAACATCAGTGGAACAGTGTAAGGCAAAACAAGAACAGAATTGGATGGGAGCATTGCTGATATTTCAGGGGTCCTCAACTGTGCACAGGTGAGGAAAGAAAAACAATGTCGACTGGGCAGATCAGGAGTGTAAGGAGAGAAATAGCCTGCAATATAAGAAACCACTTTTCCGTAAAACACAAGGACTATCACCCTCATGTGTCTGCTAAAGTTCGCCATCAATTTTCTTGGTGGATAGAGATTGATGTCAGGTTGAATTTTTAAGAATTAGTTAACTACTAATTAGCCACAGCTGGTTAAGGAGTGAGTTTACTAACTTCCAAAATTAACTAAGTTAATAGATGTCAACCACCGAACTACTTAGTTACAGGTCATGCAGATTTTAACCTTCCATACTTTGAAAGCCTCAGTATTTTCTCAGTGTTCTCAAACTTTAGCTGCACCCATTGAGTGGCCATGCAAATGTATTGAGATTCTGCTACGCAAAATTGCTTTGATGATTCCAGTCAATAGTGATGGGTGTCAATGTCATGGGCGTGTTTGACACTCCCTGACAATGCTTCAAGCATAACCATGGACAGGTACTATGTTACAGGATTGTCGATTTGTACTCCTTTGTGTCAATAACATCAGTGTTGATACTTTCCAATTGGCCGTCTAGGCCTAGGCGATATTCCCTTGACAACTCGACGAGTTACCGATTCCGGCGCTATTCGATATGACCCAAGAACGAGCTGCTGTGGGTTGCTCCGTGTACCTGCATGTACTGTACTCCCACCGCTCCGAGCAGGTTGAATGAACCTTACAGGAACCCGACTACTCTCATTTTAGACCAATGCATATCGCTAGCTGCTGAACAATTGAAACTCGATTGCCACACACAACTCAGTGAGCCCATGGTCAATTTACCTAAAATCGATAGACAAAAATACCCCAGCGAAGATATAGCTCAATGTGTCTTCGAAGGGGTTTTTGATATTTAACACACGATCCGCCTCTTTCTCTCTAGTCTCACAATCTCTATTTCCCCTAATCTTTGGTATCAAATATACCCCTTCCACTCGCTTGAATCGAGACATTCTCCCCGTGAGAACCCAAACCCAAGAGCTAGATATTCCAATATGCATGCCAAATACCTTATTATCTTGGCCTTTTCCAGTATTGCCTTTGCGGCGCCAGCAATGGTAGACGAGGCCGAATTGTATGTCAAGTTACTCTCTTATGTCGTCCTTGTTGTTCATAAACGCCCTCTCCTATTTGGAGAATCTGAAAGACATTGTATCAAAGAGCGAAATTTGCTCTATGATTATTCACGCCACTGGACTCAATAACTCACTGGTAACCTTTCTCAGTAGGACACCTGTGTCGCCATCGCCAACAACCCCGGATGGGGGTAAAGAGCCTGAATATCCCTTTTACCCGGCGGATGAAACCCCAGAACATCCCCGTAATCCAGAAGAGGAACGAACGGATGGACACCCTACATATACAATTTGGCGACCACCCGGACTAACCGGACCTTACCCTGGTGCTCCGCCTGAAGAAACAGCTCCTCCAGAGGTTCCTGTCTCCGCTCCACCACCAGAAGCGACACCCAATTCACCAACGTATCCACCTCCAGCGGAGGCAACTCCAATCGACTATCCTGTTCCTCCACCAGAGAGCAACCCTCCTTCAACAATTCCAATCCATACACCTTCCTTCACCCTAAACATTTCTCCCAACGCTACAAGCCCCGGCTACGTACCACCACCCCAGAACCCCCCTGTCGAACTTAGCAGTAGTGCTCCCGATCTAGTCGACTTCTCGGTTGCGGGCCTTGCGGGTATTCTTGTCGTTATGTGCCTTACGTTTGCGCTGTAAACACGGAACAACGCATCGTTGTCACTGGCTGGCTGGATGGAGTCTGACCCAAGTAAGGAGGAACCATTGAAGCGACACGGGAAATTGGTGGAATTTGGCCATCAGTCATGGATAGTAAGGGTGTGAACGGGTAGATATGTATGAATCTCATTCTTGTTTACGTTGATAGTTGTGTTCTGCATGTCAAGTTGCAAGTCAGTTATTTTAATACCTAGTTCAGACATGACCAGAGATGTATTGTACAGGTAGAGTTCATTTATTTATGCAATTAGTGAACAAAAACGATAATGAAGCTCTTGGTGTCTGAAACATCACACTACTCATGTTTAAAACCACTTCATGAATGCAGTTTAGAATAAGGAAATGGAATTTGTTTCTACTTTTCATTGTCACAATTTGATGATCAGATCAGGAGACACCGCTATGAGAGGCCCACGGCGCCATCATCAGCTTCAGCAATTACAAGCTACAATCCTGGAACTTGATAAATGCCAATCTACGTCGTAATTAATTAAATATTAGGTGAATAATTGTGGGTGGTTATGTCGTATTTCAGGTGTGATGATAAATTCTCAAGCCTCAATAAAGGACTGGCTGTTTGTTAGGGATCAAGTATCACAGACAAACCTCTAACTCTATGTGGAACTGTGACCTTGTAGCATTTAAATCAAGAAATCATATAGGAAAATACAACATTAAAGACTCAATAAAGCTAGTAGTATGAGTCCAAAATACGCCTTCGTGTTTCCGTTCCATGGAGAAAATAGACGTTGTTTGCGAGGGAACTTGGATTCTTTTAAGGCTGATTTAAGCTTTGCTGACAGGGGTCAAAGTGCGATTGCCTGGTTCACGTTCGGGAGCTAGTCAAACCTTAGATTAAGTTTATCTGCACCGACCCTTCTTACAAATGAAACACCATCTTAGTTGCTTGGAGATTCACAGGACCCATCATTGAAAATATCAAACCTCATCTAATGAGCTGCTTTGTTTGGTTCTTCAATGATCATGTCACTACGTGAGTCTTGGCATTCCAATTCTTTCATCTGTTTATATTTCTACAGGTTGCACAGTCTGGCAGGAAATACATAAGAGAATCAATTTCAATATTGATCTATGAAAGTGACATGATGAGAGTTGTATCACTAGATGGGAAGAATACTAGATGACCTGGTCTCTTATCCGCAGCGGACTTGAGATTGATTGCTTCCTTAGTCGAACATCTAAAATCATATTTCAATTATCAGCTAATGTAGACCTGGCTCATATACACTCATGATCCTCCCGTCGAGCTCACTCTAGAAAGTAAAACTATGGTTGGATGTATCCATTCCCTTTATCTATGTCCAACATCCATGTTGAGTAGTCCAAAAATTAGTGGAATATATATAATTTGCCAAAACATATGGTAGCATAGGTTGCAACCAGCAAATACCATCATCGGGCATGGGAGTAATTATAGCTATTAATTGTCTGGTGTTTCACTAAGTAAACAGGAATACCCAATAGCAGGCCATAGCTTCCAGGCTAGCTAGAAAATAGTGTCACAATCTTCCCTTTCGCCTATCAGATTCTGATAATTGGAAGTAAATTGGACTCTGTAGGACAAATATGTTAAATCCCTATTCCACATAGCAGTATACATACGTAGAATCACAAGATATACCAAAGCGCTAGTTTAGGAGGCTCCTAATCTACTTCATGTCCAACTTTTGTATCTGCTACACGACAAAATCTGTAAAGTGATATCGGAAGTGTGGAATGATTGCCAGCAACGAAAATGCCCTGCTGAAATACTCTCTGTGTTATTCTCTACTGCCTTTAAAATGACAATTCAAGTATTCTGATATTATGAGGGAAATTAACATTTACCAGCAGAACTATGGGCGGTGAATATAATCATGTTCATGGCAATGTGAAAGACATCAAAGTTGATACTTGCAAATAAATAATTTACCTAAGTTGATGCGTTGTCTCCGCTGGGACTTTACATGGACGGTCCGTTACTGACTATTCATATTTTAATGCACCAGGCTTGACTTGTTCTGGCATACAAAAATCTAACGTCCCACAGAAAATATCCTATGGAAAGTAACATGACAGAATGACCCCCTTAGGCAGCTGATACGACCCAGACCCAAAGTAAACTTCTGCACCAAAAGTTCCTATTCTTTTTGTTTCAAGCCGGAGGCGTAATATTTCTTACCATCTTGGTGACCCAGTTCTCTGGTGGTTTGAGATATGTTGATCATCCAACTAGGTAGTGTTAGTTATATTTTATGCCTCTACAAATGCTTGAAGGACACCAAGATTAATCAGAAAGCGATGAGACAATACATCATATACATGGCTAGGTCATGTATTGTTACCCACATACATCTTACCAAAAACAATTCACGTTTAGCGTTCTAGAGCCATTTGACTCTTATGTTCATGTGCCAGCTTAATATCACTGCCTGTCAAGGGTGGTCATCAAGATAATGTAGTACGATCTCTCTGTGCAAATAAGTATCCCAAGATATTGAAAGAAAATGAACCACTCTTAGAAGAGATATGTGCTATGTGAATTTGTCGTTCAGCTCAGATCCGTTGAGTAGTGCCTAATAAATAACATTTGTTATAACTACTTAAAGGTATATGAGATTTTGAGGTACGGATGCCATTTGGAGCTCAATCCTAAAACCTAACGGGCAGTTAACTACCTTCAAGTCATTTGTAATTCGATGTGAAATGACTGAACCTTGGTAGAATCGTTATGGTAACTATACCAGCGACAAGCAAGACACATTTCCTGAATTATGCCAGTTTCGCCATTGACTAAATAAGCCACTGTTGTCAAATAGGGCTATAGGACCCATTTATTCAGTTTTGAAGAGCTGTGTGCTGGAAGCCCACTCTTGGAGATTTTGCTGAGCGCGTTCTGAGATGGTAAAGTCTGTCAGGAGGAACTGTGCGCAAAACAAAACACAACCGGCATTGTCTGTTGTTGATCAAATAGCAGGTGAAATTTTCATTCACAAATATAATTAATGTTCTGGCGCGAGGAAATGGAAATGTTAGACTAATCAATCATATAGTTTGACATTAATTGGTTAACGTTAACTAGTTAACTAACAAAAGGTTGCACGAAACAGAAAAGGTAATCTTGGCTTCTTCGCAGCCCAACTTTCACACATCCCACCTCTCGACTTAACCTATACAACTAAAAAGAAACCGACTGCGCAACAATAATAGCGGCTGTCTAAGGAAGATCATCTACGTATATAGCGCAAAAGAACTACTATGGCTTCATCCTCATCTCCTTCTCCTCCACCAGACCCGTCCAAATCAACGTCTCTGCGAATCTCAAACCGCGGCCTTGGACTGACCAGCAGACAAGTCAGCCGGTCTTCGCGTAGCAACAATGATAACGGTGGCAAAGGGACACCAACGACACCCATCCCTGATGAAGACCATGGAGCTGATCTTCCTTTGACAATGTCGGCATCGGTTGTGCTCACCAGCTTGCCAAAGGACGCGCATCAAGCACTGGCTGTTGTGGAGCCCATCGATTCCGGCAAAGGTACGCCATTTTACCGTGGTTTAACCGACCATCCCTTTCTGATGTATTACATGGATGAATGTTTATCTTAACCGTCTGTTTCTGGTTATCTTCTGGCGTTTTACGTATGTTTTAGCTTTACGAATTTGCGGCAATCTGGAGTGGGCTCAACCAATGTGATTCCGACTCTTCTCCTACTCTGTCTTGCCACGAACAATGCCGTCCATTACGCAATAACTACCCTGCCAATATCATCATATTTATGCCCCTCTTTGTGGGATGTTAATAAGCTTTTGTCAATATTTTGCCATTATTCGACTTTCTTCGTACATTACGCTCATTTTATTCCTCAAATCAGCGCAGTCGAAGCGCACAGTGGGAGCTGACTCTGTTTTTTCTATGTTATTTATGGTATTAGTAACTGTCCGTTTTCAACCACTACCTTCCGCACCCATCCTGAGAAACCGCGTTTTCAAAATCAGCGCCTCTCAAAAATTCGAGACAGTGGTCAAGTTCCTACGAAAGAAGCTTGATTGTAAGGACACTGATTCCGTCTTTTGCTATGTGAATAGTGTCTTCGCTCCTGGGCTGGACGAAGGAGTTGGGGGCCTTTGGAGGGTAAGTCTCTTTTCTGTATAATTTCCTTTCCGTATAATTTAGTCATCATCCAGGAGCTGTGATATAGCTATATAAGTTAACTTTCGAACCTATATCGGATGCTCTAGTGTTTTAAAACGGATGATCAACTTATTGTGGCATACTCAATGACACCGGCTTTTGGATGATAAGTTACGAGCCAGGTGGACTTGGCCCTCTTGTCAGCATTGGCGAAACCAATATGGTCGAAATTTCTCACCAAACTTGCAATCGAACACGATCGTGGAGACGATAACAAAAAATAATAGTCCGCTTCTACAGTGGTATGAATGCTGGACAAAGAACTGGACAAAAGCAGCAAGAAATTGTCCACCCATAAAACCAAAACAAACACAAACCAAAAATGAGGCTTCCGAACTCTCGAGATAAATGGAATGCAAAGGGCATATATGACTATGTACATTAAAACTGTAAAAGAAATGTGGTTTCTAATCTCTATCTACCAATTTCTCAAACTCCTGGAGGTCTTCCTTTGCCATGGGGTATGTGTACTCCGGAGAAGGATATTCACGCTTCTTGACTTCATCTCTATAATGCTCGATTGCTTTCAAGCTTTCGTTCCATACATCGCCGTACTTCTTCACAAATTTCGGGAGATAGCGTCCTGGTGGGAAATTCCCGGTCATATCGACCTGAACTAGGACTTGTCCTGAGCAACCTTTGCCTGCCCCGATTCCGATGGTTGGGATTCTTAACTTTTTGGTGATGATGCGAGCTATTTCCGATGGAACCGCTTCCAGGACAACCATGAACGCCCCAGCCTCTTGCACTGCAAGTGCATCTTTGAGGATCCTTAAAGCGCTAGCGGTTGATTTACCTTGGACGAGGAAACCTCCAAGGGAGTTCTGGCGTTGGGGTGTCAGACCAACATGGGCAACAACTGGAATCCCAGCCTGCGTGATGGCTTTGATAGTTGGTGCCATCTCTTCGCCCCCTTCTAGTTTGACGCTCTGTACTCGTCCTTCTTTAACGATACGTATGGCAGACGCGACGCCTTGCTCGGGGGATATCTCATATGAACCCATTGGCAAGTCACCAACCTAATGCAGGAAGCTCAGTTAGTGATTGCGGTGGGGCCAAAGCATGCGGGATGAGATGTAGCAATATATATCCAAACCTACAGTGAAAGCTGACCCAACTGCACGGGATACACTGCGGCAATGCAGTATCATCTCGTCCAAGCACACCTCGCTAGTGTCGTCCATGCCAAGGGCAACCATTGCCAAGCTATCCCCGACGAGGACCATATCCATTCCAGCAGCTTCTGCAACATGTCCACTTGGAAAATCATGTGCTGTGAGCATAGTGATGGGCTCATCTTTTTTATAGAGCGCCTGCAGTGACTTGATAGTGACTTTCTTGCGCGTGACGGGTGCGCCCATTGGAGAATGAGAGCTGCGACGGACTTGACGCCCCGAGGGGCCCGAGCTTGTTACAGCAGATATGGAAGCGAGGGGTAACCAGCGGGGTGGACATTGGACAGCAGTGGAAAACGTTAGCTTGACCAACCGAACGGGGAGGCGGAGGCCCATTGTAATCGGTAATTCAGCCGGTTCAACCGGGATTTTGGGAAAACTGGTGCGGGACACAATTTGGTGGATAATCCCGCAGCAAAACATGAGAAAAATTGAAATTCATATTTTTCTGAAGACAGACAATGCAATCGGTGGTTTATATATAATTCGACGACGTGCTGGTATATGCAGCGTACACCAGAGAATCTTTTAGAAGTTGAACTAATTGCCGTCCTTGTTTTTCCGTTCCGTCGCCCGAACCGAGGTCGCGCAGCCGCGGATGATTAAGCATATTTGTGACGTCATAGTCAGCTTACATCAGTAGCATGGCCCGCGCGGGGAACCGTATCTAACATCAACATCAACAATTATCACCTAGTTACCCCTGATCCTAATCTAAGACTTCCAACAAAAAGGCACGCTTTGTATCCCCTCTCCCCCGTCGGGAGGATGTAAACCTGACGCATTATAAATGGATGGCGCTTAATATCTTTGTGTGCCTTCTACGATATCTATAGGTAACGACGACGGTGCAGTTCAAAACTGCTTAGACACGCCCCTCATCAACGTCGGAAGCTGAACGGTTTGTGTACCGACTGGCATTGTTCTCAGTGCAACAACGCATTCTTTTTTGGGCAATGGATAGCATTACTTCTCGAAGTACACTCGAAATACATTCCTGGTTTCCGGATTTTGTCCTCCCGCGAGTCCCGTCCACAATGCAATGTGCTACCCGAATATTAAGACCTGCAACCATAAATTTACGGATGCTCATTCATTGGCTCTCATAGCGCGTTGCCATCCTTTTCTGCTGACCCATTTCCGACAGAGTTAGCTTTTGCCATATATCTGTCATTAACGCACGCTCCTCACCCCCCCCAAAACCAAAACTTGGATTATACATGACAATCAAATACCCTCCGAGCATTATACTTCTAAAATTGGATCGCCAACTCAAAAGTAGTTTACCCTATACTAAGTGTCTCTGCTTCTAATGACCTATTGCTCCTGGCGCAATCTTTTCCGTGACAAGGTTGCCCCATACAGACCGTTGTGGTGGTAGCAGTCAATCTTTTGTTGGAATTCGACAAATGCAACACGACCAATATGTTATGAAGGCTGACAACCGTATACACCAACGGATCACGCAATGTCACTTTCAACCGATCCGTGAATTTGTTCCAAGCAGTTGTCCGCATGATATTCAAAATGGAAAATGGCAGCCAATTTCGGATAATGCGGAGAATAAGGGCAGAATTTAATTCCTCAATGAGTTCCAGCGCCTCTTGCAAGAACCATATGATCCATGATCACAACCCCAGCACTTGGGAGGCAGGTTGGATTGTCTATAATTATTCCTAGCGCCACGAATTATGGGAGGGTATTCCCTGAATGTCCTTCAAGCCGCTATTAGTGATATTGGGTTTCATGAGCTGCATTTGCCAATATCATAATGTCAGACACCTCCTAAATCTCCGTATGGATTTGACTAGCTTAGATGAACTCCTTCCATTTCAAATCCTGCAGCAATTGACCCGGAAACAAGTTTTAATGATTTTTTTGTAAAAGGTTGTCGGACTGACTTCTAGTTGAAATTGAGACGGAGTTTACCAGATTTCCAGTTTTGGTGGCTCACTCCTCGATATCTTTTCTAACGCTCACTGTAAATCGGGAAAATCAATATTATGGTGTGCGTTGGCATTTGGCCCAGATTCCTGCGGGGAAAACCCGAGCCCACAGGTATCGGTGGTATTTTAATCGGAGATATGTCGTCCTCCGGTTCTGTAGCCGACGGATGCCCACATATCACTGAGGTCCCTTTGGTACGGAGGGAGGGGTTCCTCTTTTGAGGGATTAGGAGATAATCCAAGATCTACTCATGGGAATAATCGCATGTGCGTCACACACCCGTTGAGGAAAGACTACTTGTTGCATCAGGCAGTCCGTCGCTTTAGGTCACTCACCCCGTTGACGCGACATATGCGTTGAATGAAGGATTTTATTTGCCTCTCGAGGAGTGTTGGTTTATCCCCACTTCAAACCCTTGAAATATGTTTGTTTGAACTGGAGGAAATGCATTTTCACATACAACCCTCACGTATAGTTATGTGAACTCAATAGTATAGCTGCCACACGAATCCCAAGTTTTACCGATCGCGAGCCTAAGGGACGAGACGTAGGCCGATGGAAGTGAAATCCTCGCAAGTAGGGGCATCTCATATATATATATATATATATACATATACAAAACAATCGCTCAATTTTGCCTAAAGAGGTTTCATCAGTCTCGAGGTTAAGATCGAGATTCGGCCGTTCCTGTCTCTCCCCGCGAATATTTCACGCAGACATTCTGGTCTCAAAGAATGCTATCACCATGAGACCTAGTTAGTACCATGAGACGTATCTTCCGGGAGAGTGAACACGATTACCGGCAAAGGCTCGTATTGGCCTGACTGTATATTAGCTGCCTAAAAGTGGATAAGAAGACTCCTCTCCATGTAGTTGAAGGCAGTTACTCAGTTAACAGATCATCAGCCTGACAGGCCAGCAGGAAAAAGTACAAAAACGAACAAAAAAAAATGAATTATATACCAAAAATCAAGTTTACAAGGTCCCCCGCCATATTTTCTAGTTGATATTCAAAAGTGGAAAGAGAGAAAACAGAGAGAAAAAAGCAGCTCCTTGGATTCAGCAAATTTACCCTTATAATAAAACATGTACACCATCCCATCTCGCACGAAAAGCAAGAGGAAAGGGGAAAGGAAGGAAATCAGACAGGTGAAACGAAAGTCCACAGGCTATCCACGCCGAAAGGGCCTATCGCTGAAACGCCATGAAATTCAACCAACTCTTAATCCCACACTAACCAGAAACATGGCGTAGTTCAGAACCTTCAAGGAGAAACGAATCGGTTGATTGCATCGTCTGAAGAATGGGTGTAATGCCATCCGTTAAGTATGATGACACTTCCGCCTCGTCTTACTTTCGAAAGAGTTTGGTCGACCGAGGAACTCGCTCGACTCAATCTCACATACCCAAGGCGTTGTGTCAGGAACTACCCAACACCGTTCCATTTGTTAAGGATGCCCCACCGCGACGTGAAAATTGCCTAGGTGCCTATTCCCGCCATGGTTCCAGAAACTGCAGTCATGCGAACGGGACACGGAGTCCACCCAGAAAGTGGATTTATGTGCAACCAGGATCCAGCTCAAATTCAACCAAATTAACTAAGAGAAACCGTAGCGCGTGAGTACATCCAACGGAGTTGCTTTTCTCTTTCTCAAAACATCAACATAGGGGTTTCATGCTTACATAGCGCGACAAACAGCATGCCAAATTCGTCCGCATCTTCAAGCCACAACTCCACTCGGGGCCCCATTCGCACTCCACGAGAAATGTCGAAGAGCTCCCGTTGACATAGCGACGGTCCATCCCATTGGACTAACCAGCGGTTGTAGAGTGACTCCCATTGCTCCTTTGAATTGGCTTCCCATAGGTATTTCGCTGCAGGAGCGGGGATATTGCTTACATCTGCACAATTAAGAGGTGGTAAGCAGAAAAATGCACTGTACGCCCAATGTATCGTATATAAACTTAGAAGAGCTCGTCGTTTGCACGAAACGTGGATCCATGATTCCCATAAGGGTCGAACGCGGTTGCTCTCTTCTTCGAGTACCAGACCAGTCGACACACCGTAACGGATTAAACCATTCACTTCTCCAATCAGCTTTTCATCAATTAATGAGACCCCTGGCTGGTTATTGGAAGGGAAGAGGAGTAGTAGCATGTATATAGTCAGCGCCTGTAAAGCTGCAATGAGGTTCCGTTCGTCAAATGTTGGGAACTGCATATCCATTAGCGTTAAGCGTTGTCACACGGGGGTATAAGGGATTCATTCCAGCTTACCAGATTCACAATGGCCTGCATCTCTTTTTTAACCGTCTGATGAAAAATATTTATTCC